TCCAAAGCAAAATAAAAACATGTCTGTCCATTTTAAATACTCAAAAGGTTTTGACAGACAGTTGGGACCCGATTCTTATACATATATGCGTATCCAAATTGCCCAAAGATACCCGAATCCTTTGGGAGCGATCAATGCCCGAATTCCTAACGTCCAGATTTCAAGTGTTAGAAAGGGTAGAAATTAAATTCCCAAAACACGTAAGCAAGACTTCCGCTCTAACAAAATCCCACAGTAAAACAAAATATTTTTATACAAATTCCAAAACGGTGTTTTCCTGTTATTTATGCGACACCCCACATCCAATGAAAGAATGCCCCATATTTCAAAAATTCGCAATACAAGCGCATAAAATTGGTTAAAACTCATAAATTGTGTTCAAACTGCCTTGCTTTCAATCATTGCTTGGCAGAGTGCAAGTCCCCATTCGCATGCATGTATTGCCAGAAAAGACATAACTCCTTACTGCATGTACACTCATCCAGAAGCCATTCCAAGAAGAACACCATAAAAGAAAATATTAAGAAATCGATCAACCCCGATCGACAGATACATGAAAGCTCTGGTCATACCCAAAAGACCATAGCCCCACCAAATAAAGAGCAAGTGATCCTCTATGATCACCACCCAACCAATACGCAAACTCAAAAAGTAATAGCGCAACACAGCACAGCGCACGGGATCACCAACGATTGTCCCGAAGAGTTAACAAGCTACAAGCCGGATAAGCAACCCACCTACTCAAACTCCGCGCATGTTAACTCGCTCCAAATTGCCAAAGAAAATGAAGTTCTCCTCCCAACTGCAATAGTGACAATAGAGCATCGAAGAGAACAGTTTCAACTCAGAGCACTGCTTGACCAAGGGGCCCTAAAAACCTTTATTTCGTCAGCAGCTCAGAAGAGTTTGAAGCTCCCAACCGAACACTCCCAGTTCGACGTATTTCATATTGGTGGAGGTAACACAAAACGCCCTAAGAACGTTTGTGAACTAAGTATAATTACCCGCAAATCAAAGCGGAAGATAAATACAAAAGCTGTGGTACTGAAGCAATTAACGGAGCAAATACCGACTCCCCCCTTAAGTCGTGAATTTATTAAACAGTTCAATCACCATGTACTAGCTGACGCCCATTTCAGCAAACCAGCACCAATAGATCTGGTTATTGGAAGCGATATACTTCCACAAATTCTCCAACCCGGAGCCCGAAAAATACAAGATAATGTAATAGCTCAAGAAACTATATTTGGTTGAGTGATAAGCGGTTCCGCCGCAAAACTATGAAAATAAAGGGCAAAAAATAAGACCCCGCGCATTCAATGCCATAAGCTCTAACCCATGAGCTCCCTACATAACTCAAACCAAAGGGCAATAAATAAGACCCGGGCATTCAAAACAGTAAGCTCTAACCCATAGGCACACTACAAAAATACACAAATATTTATTTACTAATATCTTCATACGACCCACACCTAAGAAGATTACAATGCATATAGAGCACCACCATCTGCATAATTGTTCGCTTTCTTCCTTTGCAGAACGATAACTCAAGGAAAGGCCATATATCGCCAGCAACATGAAGCCAACTCTAAGTGCCATATCCCTAAATAACATTATACGCGGAATGCATTAGCGGTAGCGCGAATCCGCCACACCTCAATATTACTACGTAAGCCCGTCCCAGTGCCAAGGCTACCGGACAGCGCGTAAATGGCCTACACTAATGTTCCGAAGACTGCGGACTGAACTATCCAGCACACTCCTGCAGCGGGGGGCAGTGTACAATCAACACTTAGGGAACACCCTAATGCCTTCTCTGCTGTTCAACTTTCCCGTAATGAGCAAAAGAAAGTGGAGAAAGAACACAATCCAAAGTCAACCGTATCACCGCGCGCACACGGGAAAACGGCCACCGGAAAGTTGGACGGAAATAAATAGACATATGTCCTTATAAATATTTTTATTATTAAAATAATAAATAGACATTAAAACGTTTTAAATATAAAACGCGAGTGGTTACTTAAAACGAACGCGAGAAAACTCTTGTCGCGTTGCTAGAAGTGTTTCGTGTTTTTGGTGTACCATAGTGTATCCATTCGGATAGCGGAAAGAAGTTGGTTTCCGAAATATTTGCTAACTTATTAGACAAATATGGAACGAGATATATCAAGACCGCTTTCCACTCCCCTCAAAGTAACGCCGCGGAGCGAGTAAATCGGTCTGTGTTACAAATTGTTCACTCATACATCAAAGATGACCAGAGATTTTGGGACAGACACATTAGCGATGCAGCGTTCGCGTTACGTAGTGCAGTCCATTCTTCAATAAACTGCTCCCCATACTTCGTCACTTTCGGTATGCCTATGATACAACATGGTGCAACCCATACGTTGCCGAAAGCTTGACTCAGTGATGGACGCAGACTATGAGATAGATTCAGGGATGGACCGTATGTAACTTATAAGAAACAAAATATTGAAAGAGTTAAAATTGGCTCATGAGAAAATTACCAAAGTTTACAACACGAGGAGTAAAGATGTTAAGTTCAAAATTGGGCAAGTCGTGTACCGAAGAAATTTCAAGCAGAGCTCACAAATAAACCATTACAAAACCAATTTAAATGTATCATCTTAAGAGTCATAAGAGTCATCGGTAACTCCATGTATGAACTCGGAGACACCAGCGGGAAGAACATAGGCGCAGCCAGGTAGGGGCAGGGGGGCCCGGGCCCCTCCCCCCTAACTTTCAAATTTTTGCCTAGATATTCAAAAATACTAAATGCTTGCTTGATAATTTCGGCCCCCCCCTAAATTTCAAGGTTTTTCCTATATATATACTGTATAACAAATTATACTCCCAACGCTAACTAAATAATTAGTAAATTTATTTGAAAAGTAGATATGTGGATCATCCGGTTCTGTATCAAGTTATTATCCCTAACTTCAAAGCACTTTCATTTTAAAAGGGTAAAAACCTGGCTGCAGTCGACAATGAGCAAAAATTGATTGAACGGAAACTATAAATAAATTTATAGTTCAATTGTTTATTACTTTGTCTTTAGGTTTGTGTCTTTACTAAGCGGTTGGGTGAACAGCCAAGACGTTTACTTCTAAAGTGTGACAAAACAAAATCAAGTAATATATTTAGCATAAATAAATATACCAGCCTAAAAAATCTGCGTACTCAAAATGTTCAATACGCCCTCATACTTATACATACATACATATGTATGTATATCATTTAACGCTTTGTCCGGCTATTTGGTTTATTATACAGGTATGTAGAGCGAATTTAAAAAAATTCATCAGGGTTTAGTTGAGATATTCGTTTTTGGCCACTATGTTTTGTACATTTCCCAGTACTGCAAAGCTTTTGACGGCCATTCACCTGGGAGTGGCCAGAAGTGATTCGTGTGCTTACGGTTCAAATCGCAGCTAACTACGTCCGGATATTTATATCCATGAATACTCTGGGTAGCGACCGAACGCTAGTTTGGGAGCGAGGTAAAGTGGGAGGGCGAACACCCCGCGTGCGCTGGGGATTAATCGGGATGGTGCCTCTGCCCGGCTGGTTGAAGTCCTAGGGAAAATAAAGGCTGACATCAGCTCCATCCACGAAATGCGATGGACGGGGCGAGGAAGGTAAGCGTGACCCTTGCGACGTCTACTACAGTTGCCACGTAAAGGAGTGCAATTCGGTGTTGGATTTGTGGTGGGAGAGAGACCGGCGTTCACTCTAGTGGACGAAAGTCTAGCCACAATCCGCATCAAAGCGAGATTCTTCAACATCTCATTCACATGTGCCAATGCCCCGATGGAAGAGAAGGACGAGGCATCCAAGGCTCTCTTAGCTTAGAGCGTACATATTAGCGCTGCCCCCGACACGTATAAAAATCGTGCTTGGCCATTTAAATGCCAAGGTGGGCAACGAAGGGATCTTTGGTGCCAGTGCCTCCACATAGAAACGGCGGGCTGAGGATGATCCACTTCGCCGGGGCCCGAAGCTTGGCAGTATGTATTACTGGGTTCTAGCATAAAAACATCCATCAAGCTATTCTCATTTTCGTTGTTGGTGTTTCCGACAGGGTAGGAGTGTGATGTATTGTGGAACGATTTTCCGTCGTGTCAAATTTGGTTTGGAGACAAACCGGTTTCGGCGTTGTTCCATCTTCAGTGTCATTTTTCGTTCTCTCAAGCTACATGGATGTCTCCACATCGAAAAACGGGAAACCAAATCGAGCATGTTGTGATAGACGGAAGACATGCTTCCATGTTTTAGATGTACATACGTACACTCCGAGGGCCAAACATTGACTCGCACTACTATATTGATGCATCCAATATACGACCTAACCTCGGAGAAGCAAAAAAAGAGCCCCCAACAATGCAGGGAAAGTTCAACGTCGAAAAGCTGCAATCAAAACAGACGGCCAATGGATTCGGCGCTCGACCCTCACACCCCACATTTCCCGCTAATTACTGGTACGATCACGAGTGTGAGAAAATGCTTGAAATGCTGTCCGACAGAAAAAACACCCGAAATTTTTAGCAGAGAGTTGAGCGACTTACGGAAGGTTTCAAGACTCTTGTATGAACAACCATGGCGACCTAGTGACCGATGTCCAGAACGTACTCAGATTATGGAGGGAACACTTTTCGACCCCTTTGAATAGCGGAAGCACTTCGAGGTCCCAGTCGATGACGATGGAGTCGATATCCCAGCGCCTGACTATGAAGAAAATTGCCAAAGCTGTTTGAGCTGACGGCCTGTCAGCTGAGCTATTTAATTACGATGGCAAGGAGGTAATAAGGTGCATGCCCGACGACTGGAATTCAAGTGCGCTCTGCCCAATCCACAAGAAAGGCGACCCCGCAATGCGTACCAACTACCGCGGGATCAGCCTTCTAAGCATAGGTTGCAAGGTCTTATCGAATTAATTGTCTACCATAGACCAGGTATTCACAGTACGCCGAATCTTGGAAAAGACCCGCGGGAAAATGATCCGCACTCACCACCTATTTGTCGACTTTAAAGCCGCTTTCGATAGTACTTAAAGGTATATGCCGCTATGTCTGTCATACGCCTGTGAAAAATGACGTTGAGTAATACCACCAGCTCTGCTCTGTTGCCTTTCGCCACCAGACGGGGTTTCAGACAGGGCGGCTCTCTTTCATGTGGCTTCTTTAATCTGATGTTGGAGAAGATAATAACATCTTCAGAACTGAACCGCTTAGGAACAATTTACTACAAGAGCGTACAATTGCTGGCTTATGCCGATGACACTGACATCATCGGTAAGAAAAACCGCGAAGTCTGTCCTGACTTTTCCAAGTTGGACAAGGAAGCAAAGCGAATGGGTCTGGTGGTAAACGACGACAAGACGAAGTATCTCCTGTCATCAAACAAACAATCAGCATATTCGCGCCTGGCACCCACGTTAGGTTAGGTTAGGTTAGGTTAACTCGGCTGCCCTAATCCCTCAGGAAAAGGGCACACTTAGGCCACCAAGGGCCCGTTGTGATGCCGTATAAGAGACTCCATATGTCCCTCCTCTTACCCTAGTAGTGGAACCACTTCGTTGCTCTGATGAAGCGCACAAAGTCATAGACACTGGCTGAATCCAGTTCGGCCAGACATTCAAAAGAATAATGGAGGAACGAGCATCGGCGAGCTCTAGCCAGAGCAGGACAGTGGCATAAGTAGTGCTCCACGCTTTCGATTTCCTCCTCATCGCGGCAGCTACGACAGTAGTCGTTTGACTGCAAACCCATTCTAGTGGCGTGGATTCCCATCAGGCAATGCCCGGTGAGAACTCCAATAACATGCCGCAACAGTGGTCGCTCCAAGTGGAGAAGAGGGTGAGATCTACGCTTGTCAAGCTTAGGCCAGATATGTCTTGCTATCCTGCAAGTAGGCTCCGCAGACCATCTTTTATTAGCCTGTCCGACGAAGTTATTCTCAAGCCAGAGCTTGCAAGAAGATAGCGGAATGCCCGCATTACGGGCTGTGCTGATTGCAGGCAACAAGGTTCCTTTCCTTGCTAGTTCATCTGCAGTACAGTTTCCTGGTATGTCTTTGTGGCCTGGCACCCACACAACATTAGTGACGTAACACCTTGCCAGTTCATTAAGAGTACGTCTACATTCCAAGAAAACCTTCGACGTAGATTTGTCACTATTAAGTGCTTTAATAGCCGCTTGGCTGTCAGATAAGATTGTTACCGCCTTCAGATTAATTAGAGAATCGATCAGCCAGCTTGCAGCTTCATTTATTGCTGTTAGTTCAGCCTGAAAAACGCTGCATAAATCTGGCAGACGGAAACTGAGGCTAAGTGAGAGTTCTTGCGAGTATACCCCACTTCCTACCTTCAGATCCAACTTGGAGCCATCAGTGTAGATGGCTGTTGAGTCAGAATACGATATCAGGACCGAATCCTCCTCCCATTCCTCCCTTGAGGGGATCCTTGTCCGGAAATAATTCTTTAGTCCCGTAGACGGGACTGTGTAGTCCAGGCGCCTAAAGTCATCTGGAAGATTTTCCAAGATCCTAGAGTGCCCAAACCTCGTGTCACTCCATTTGATTAGCGCATTTAATCTAATAGCATTACAGCTTGCCTGTAGTTTACCATATAGGTCCACAGGTAGCAAGTGAAGCAAGGTCTCTAGGGCTTTAGTCGGCGTCGATGGTAACGCTCCCGTGATCATCATGCACGCCACCCTTTGGACCGCTGTTAATTTGTTTCTTATTGTAGATTTATCTACGGACGGCCACCAAACCGTTATGCCGTAGAATAGAATGGGACGCACAACCGCTGTGTACATCCAGTTCACAATATGAGGCTTCAATCCCCATTTTTTCCCAATCGCCGATTTACAGGCATACATAGCAGTTATAGCTTTCTTGCAGCGCTTTCGGCTCAGTAGGCGACCAACGAACCAGAAATAATGAACTCAAAAAATGTAGCCCCGGATCCCTGCACGGGTAAAAATGCCGCCGACGGACACGGCGTTAAAGTCTGTCTAAAAACGACATCTTCGGTAGCCGCTGGAGCGGTCCCGAAGGAGCCTAAACGGCTAACAGTACTAAATGTTGCGCCCGGCGTCAGTAGCAACAAACCCCTGGTGCAACAAACCTCTGGGTTGCAAGCGGAGCCTGCACGGCCAATTGACCTCTCGTGCCAGTCGTCCACATCTCTGGAAGCTGCGAGTACACCCCTTGAGGGCAGCTCCAAAGCGGCGCCGGGAGAAGGCGATACTGGCACCCGGAAGTCCTGCACGGACAGCACCACCGACCGCAAGCCCCTTGAGGGTAAGAAGTCGGATCAACGCAAAGGCGTCCCAGGTCCCAGTGGTTCGAGGACCAAAAAAGAAGTCCGACCAGCAGTCAGGGCGAAAAGGGACAGAAGAGCCGCTTCTAGACTACTGAGGAAGTTCGGCAATGACCCGGTTCCCGAGAGTATGAGGGAAGTGGTTGAGAGGGCGAGGGGCGTTCTCTCCGAAAGTCGTGAGCGACCTCAGGAAGGAAATGCCGCCAACAAATCTGCACCCACTCACTCTCGTCCTAGGGAGCTGGGCAGCAAAAGGCAAAGGTCAGCAGACAACGTGGATGCTGCTCCTAAGAGGCCCAAAACCTCTAACGCTAACAGCCCTCTTAACCCTCCAAGGGCTCTGAGGGCTTTCAGTGATGTGGCCAAGGACCACTTGATCCTGGCGGTTATGGATAGGGGGCACCCGGAAGGAAACCTAACGGCCGACAACTGGAGGTCCGTCCTGGTGGGTCTCTGCCGGGTGTACAAGGAGATTCTCCGGAAAAATCCTGGCCCTGCGCCAACTGTCCGCGATGCTGGTCTCTACCAAGGCCGCATCAAATTAGTTTCCTGCGCTGATGAACGGTCGGCGCGACTTTATAAGGAAGCAATTTCTTCTCTTGGGGAACTGTGGCCCAGCGCTGACTTGGTGGCAGTGCACAGGGATGAAATCCCTTGTAAGCCGCGAGCCAGAGCCTGGGTCCCAGAGGAACCCTCGAGTCCTGAGGAGATTCTGGATATCATCCAGGTCTCAAACGATGCACTACCAGCCCTTGATTGGAAAGTAGTGAAGGTCAGCGAGGTTAGGGAGCAGCAACGTTACATCACCTTGGTGATAAACGAGGAGTCTCTCCCGATCCTTGCTGACTGCAAGGGAGTAATTAGCTACGGCTTTTACTCCATTACCCTCAAAACCCAAAAAGGGAATGAGGGTAAAATGATAGAGCCGGGGAACACCGAGGGTGAACCCGAGGCTGGCAATCTTCCGCCTAAAGGCGGCCCTATATCTGGAGCAGAAAACGCCTTGAGCGGTCCTGCTTCTAACCAAGAGGTCCAGGAGGTTCTCGAGGCCACTTGCCCGGTGGTGAGGTCAGACTCGGCAGCGGAAACAGATAGCGATACGCAATCTGTTTCTGGTGACGGATCGGTACTTAACCGGTGGACGAGGGAGTTCGGGAACCTGCTTCTGACGTCGGACTCAGAGGACGCCGATGATACCATCGTTGAGGCGTTCGATAGAACCCCGCCAGAAGTGATGGACGGGGACGATATTTTATAAGCTGTGGATGAAGGTTCTACAAATAAACCTTCATCACTCTAAAGCAGCTTCTGCAGCTCTGCTCCTGCACCTCAGGAGCTAGTTTTTGTCCAGGAGCCCTGGGTTGTTAAGCACAGGGTTTGTGGACTTAATTCTGATGCTTACCGCATAGTGTCGGCACCTGTGGCAGGTAAGATCAGGGCATGTATATTAATCAAAAAAAGTATTTCTTATAATTTACTCACACAGTTCAGCGATGAAGATACGGTGAGCATCTCTGTGGAAAGCCAATCCACAACACTCTGGCTGGTCAGTACATACATGGCCTACGATCGCCAAGACTGCCCTCCCGCTCGGTTACTGGACGTGGTGAAAGAGGCCAACTCGAGGAAGTTTCCCATAGTCATAGGAGCCGATGCGAATGCGCATCACGCGGTATGGGGATCTACCGACATCAACCCGAGGGGTGAGTTGTTACTTGATTTTATATTATTATATAATCTAGCCATCTGTAATATTGGTGATAAACCCACTTTTGTAACCTCAAATAGGAAGGAGGTATTAGATATTACCTTATCGTCTAGCGCTTTCTTTGAGAGTATTAGGGAGTGGAAGGTACTGAGCGACCATTCATTCTCTGATCACATGTATCTCTCATTTGTAATCTCCTTTGAACTTCCGGCCTCGGCCGCTTACAGAAACAAGAGACGTACTGACTGGACTAAGTTTAGGAAAGTACTCTCGGGGAATTTGCTCAACAAGGCTTCTCTCAGTAAGCTAGGCTTACTGTCCCCACCTGATGAAGCGGAGCTTTCTCTCGCAAACCTTGCTTCTCTCGGTGAGTTAGGCTCATCGGAACAAATTGAAGAAGCCGTTGATTGCATTACCGAAGCCTGTAATTCGGCCTTATCTGCTTCCTGCCCACTTGTACTTCCGAGAGGAAAGAAGAAGCCACACTGGTGGAGCAAAGAAATCGCCTCTGTAAGGAAGGAAAGCAGGAAACTCTTTAATGCGGCAAAGCGCGATGGTTCTTGGACTGCATATAAGGCAGCCCTGAAGAAATTTAAAAATGCCACCAGGAAAGCCCAAAGGGACTCCTGGAAGGATTACTGCGATAGTATAGAGGGTCAGTCGGAGGGAAATCGCCTGCGAAAGGTGCTTGCGAAAAGTTCGACGAACCCGATGTATATTCAGAAACCAAATGGTGACTGGACGTAATCTCGTGAGGAAATGCTTGTAGTCCTAATGAACGCGCATTTTCCAGGATGTACTGCGGAGCCCAACACCGCGGCTATTATCTCTGAACGGCCGTTGACTTCAGCGGACTTCATTGATGTACAAAGGGTAGACTGGGCCATAAAGTCCTTCCAGCCCTACAAATCTCCAGGTATGGATGGTATCTTCCCTGCCCAACTTCAGTCAGCATCTGACGTGTTATGTCCGATACTTGTCTTAATCTATAAGGCTTGTATCAAGCTTAGTTTCATACCCAAGGGTTGGACCCTGGCGAAAGTTGTTTTTATTCCCAAGGGAGGTAGACCCTCCCACGTTAAACCAAGTGACTTTCGACCGATAAGCCTTACTTCTTTCTTTCTCAAGGTTCTGGAAAGACTTGTAGACTTGCAGATCCGACAGGAAATTGATGTAAATAATCTCTCTAGCTGTCAACACGCCCACTGGAAAGGTAGATCTGTGGATACAGCTTTGCATAGTATTGTCAGCACCATTGAAAAGACTCTCGCTTTTAAGGAATTTGCACTAGGCGTGTTCCTGGACATCGAGGGTGGTCCTTCAAGCCCTAGCTCGCCTTGGGCTGGATCACCCTATGGTTGAGTTTGTTCGTCGCCTCTTAGGCAGTAGAACTATTTACTCGGAGATGTGGGAGGTATCTATAACAAGATATGCGAGTCGCGGAACCCCACAAGGCGGTGTTCTCTCCCCACTTCTTTGGAATCTAACTGTGGATACCCTGCTGTCACGGTTGCAAGGCACAGGTTGCCAAGTCATTGCTTACGCGGATGATCTTGCCCTGACGGCAATTGGTAAGCACCGCCAAGTTCTATGTGACTTAGTTCAAGGCGCCTTACGCGTCGTGGATACCTGGTCCAAAGAAGTAGGACTTAGTGTCAACCCGGCAAAAACGGCCATGGTTCTGTTTTCAAAGAAAACGAAAGCTGTCCGGCTACAACCTCCTTCCTTGAACGGTATCGTACTGACTTTCTCGGAGGAGGTTAGATATCTGGGCGTTATTCTTGACAGAAAGTTAACTTGGTGGCACCCACGTCACTTTTGACAGTTATAATTTCGAGGAAGTAGAGAATTTCGTTTACTTGGGAACCAGCATTAACACCTGTAATAATGTCAGCATGGAAATCCAACGCAGAATCACTCTTGCCAACAAGTGATGCTTTGGACTGAGTAGGCAATTCAGGAGTAAAGTCCTCTCTCGACGTATGAAAACCACACTATAAATCACTCATCATGCCCGTGCTGGTATGTGGCGTATTAAAATACAGCGGCTCAACTGGCTTGATCATGTCGTTCGAATGGACACCGACGCCCCAGCTCTGAATGTATTCTGGCTTCACTTGGCATTTCTAATAGGCGTCAGTTGGTCAAAATCGCTTTGGCGGTTACAGCGCCAAAAAGGAAGAAGAGGAAGAGAATAGATCTATAACCTTATCAGTCACACAGTGTTTAATCCCGACGAAATCCTTGACGGTGGTACCGGGAGGGGAACGGTACATGACGGTAGGAATTTTAGTTTGGGTTAAAGTCTCACACGGAAGGGGTTAGGCTTTCGATGCTTCCTCCTCGTAAAATAAACATGCTCAGTAAAAAGTTAACAATTTAAATCCCAGCCGAAATAAACAGAATGCGTTTTAAATATACGTCCGCATATCATCAGGATCGTTTTAAAGAATAAATAAACAAAAAAGTTTATTCCAAACGTTCAGAATGAATAAAGAAATTCAGCCAATGTAAAAAAGATATTTTTTAAAAACAAGCTTTTGTTTAACATGTACAATCAAAGGAATAAAATAAAGTAGTGTAACAAAAGATTTTTTAGCAAGAAAATTTTGTTAAAACTGCACTATAATGAATAAAATAAAATAAGTTAAGCTTTCGTTAAAGTTACTAAAAGCCAAATAGTGAAAGGAGTTACTCAAACTAATGAAAATTACTAAGAATTTGTACTGATTTACTTCGTTTTTAAAAAAGTTGGTCGCGCGAATAGCGAACTGCCATTTACATATCTGCATACGTACATACAACTGACCAATTATGCATGTACGTTGAATTCGCCGACAAGCTTTTTTAAAAACGAAGTAAATCAGTACGAATTTTTAGTAATTTTCATTTTAGTTTGAGTAACTCCTTTCACTATTTGGCTTTTAGTCACTTTAACGAAAGCTTAACTTATTTTATTTTATTCATTTTATTGCAGTTTTGAAAAAAATTTCTTGCTAAGAAATCTTTTGTTACACTACTTTATTTTGTTCATTTGATTGTACATGTTAAACAAAAGCTTGTTTTTTTTTTAAATATATCTTTTACATTATTTTATTTTGAACTTTTTAGTTTTATTTTATATAACCAGGACATAATATTTTTATTAAGGGCTGACTCTACATTTATGAGCATAATACATTTAATATAAGCGGCGTAAATCTTTTCGATAACACTGTGAGACAAATGGTAGGGGTCAGTGATCGGGATGGGTTCAAACTACCGGGGAAAGTTATATCGGTAAAAAAGAAGTTATATGTGTCCCGGCGTTTCGCTGGGTCACGTCTAGGAATCGAGATATATATATAACTATCATATAGGGGAAATTGTCACCTTTGGTGGTCTTTTTTTGAGATAACTCGAGAACCACTAGTCCGATTTTGCTCAAACAAATTAAAAAAAATTAAAAATTACAATTCCTTTAATCTGTTCTTACAACGTTTTTCTATATAATCAACAGTTTTAAAAAAATTTAATATTTTAGGCAAATAATATTTTTTTTCTTCATACATTTACTTTTAACGGCAAAACTGGCGATTATATAGAAAAACGTTATATGAACAGATTAAGGGAATTGTAATTTTTAATTTTTTTAAATTTCTTTGAGCAAAAGTGGTTCTCGAGTTATGTCAAAAAAAGACCACCAAAGGTGACAATTTCCCCTATATGATAGTTATATATATATCTCGATTCCTAGACGTGACCCAGCGAAACGCCGGGACACGTATAACTTGGTTTTGACCGATATAACATTTCCCGTTGGTTTCATCCCATCCCGATTTTGACTGTCGCATAGTGTAATCTGTTTAGGCTGAGCAAAACACGTTAAGTTCAGGGAGGGAAACAATTGTATGATGGGAAAAATGGCGGAAAGTTGGCAACTGTTGAACTGAGCGGAACTACTCAACTTGGCGTTTCGAGGACAAACAGTAAACGGTTAGACAATCTTAGTCTTATGAACGCGCCCAATGTGTCACGAATTAAGAGCATTATCAGATAGGAATCGGTGTCTTATTTAATTTAAGCAATCAGTTCAAGTACAAACCACACACCAGGTAGGTGCTCTACAGATATTCGTATAGAAATATTACAAGGTTAACAGCTGATTCATGCAAACTAATTTAAGGTATTTTACCTTACCAAGGAATTCACAAAAGAATCTATCATACCAGTGCCTAAACCTATACTACTTAATTGCGCCGGCAAATTACGCTCTGCTATCACTAGCAGTAGTGAAACCGCTGTCAAAAAGCTGTTAAGCGAAGATCACACGGTTTGTACATTTGTACGGATTTGTACATTTTGGCAGTCACATAGTGGTGTTCTTTAGAAATTTGAGTTCAGTTCAATAAAAGAATTTGGGAACAACACCACTCCGTACCTGCCAAAATGTACAAATTGAGTGATCCCTGCTAAGATGAAAACAAACATAGGGAGCTGCGAAAACGTTAAAATTTAAAGTTAATATGAGTGCATATAATACATTTAGGTTTTATGTTTGTTTTCGAACGAAGTATATCTAGTATTACAAGAATACATATCGAGGGTTTATATTCAATCCCTCTATCTGCAATTTTGATGAAAATGAGTTTTTGATGGTAACGTGAGCTCCGATTAATCATTCAGCCATGACACTAATGTCAAACTAAAAATATAGCTTTTATGGTATTATATTCTTATTTTGAAAATTCCACTATCTGCAATAACATTTTTTATTAACATTTTTTGTGGCAGGTAAGTTACATGTGCCTATGTATGTATGTATGTAAATGTCACCGGTAAAATCCGATCTTAGGTCAAACTAATACGATACATCTGTCCAACCGAAAAAAAATTTGATAAAACAAAAAAATCTTCTATATCCCGTCAAACATCGAGTCATTAAACTCGATTGCTCCATTCTATCTCAAGGGTCACCAAGATTGGAAAACTGTTATTATTATACCTATTGCCAAACTAAATAGAAACAATTCATTAGTTTCTAACTACAGACCCATTTCCCTCCTCCCCTGCATATCGAAAGTATTACGCTGTAAAAATGGTGAGAGGATGTACAATGTTGTTAAGTGTTTTATTCAATATAGCCTCTGGGAAAGTTAGCTACATTACATTTTTTCTAAGACAAAGGACTTGCCGCAATTGGTCCAAATCTTCAGGAGCTAAGATTTCGGTTTTTTCAAATATGCAGAAAACACAAATGCATACATCCAACCCTATCCATGTACGACACCCCAATACACTATACCAGGCCTTCCCAAAGTGGGTGACGCGACCCTGGGGTGCCGCGAGCATATGCCTGGCGTGCCGCTAGTGGCTAGAGTATACTAGTGGTGCGGGCAAATTGTTTGGACTTTCCATACAGAACGCAAGCTGTTTGATCAAACTTCAACATGGCGGCCAGAAAATCAAAAAATTTAGATTTTTATTAAAATTACCTTCAGCGGCTCGTCAAACTCCATACACAACGCAAATAGCTTGCAGCAAAGGGATATTTCGCTCTTAAGCTACAACGTAAAATTTACCGCCCTATTCCCACAACACTGACAAATTTCATCATATGACTATTGTCACAATTACTGCGCCTAAAACACAATATAAACATTGTTTCGCCGTTGTCACTTACTCAGTAAGTCATAACAATAAAACTGACAATTGTCATACGACAGCTTATAATAAATTTGCGGCATAGTATTAGGCGCAGTAGTCAAGGCAATAGTCAGCCGCTGAGTTTTGTCAGTGGTGTGGGAATAGGGCGGTTAATCAGAAAATTTTCAGAAAAATAGCCGAAAATGTACCCTTTTCACAACCACTTTCGGTACTTTTGTAGACCTAATCCGCGTTTCATCCACTTTTCTTCCCGTTTTTGGATTAATTTTCGGATTTTTTGCTGGCTGGGCTATTCTTGTAACAAGCGCAGCAGCTTCGCACACGTGTATATATTACTTATTCTTTGGAACTTCACAATCACACTGTAAAAGGGCGAATCAACACGATTTTAGAGGCAGTCTTCTCGTGTTATTGAGGTACCCATCAGTGTTGCCAGAACTTTTTGGACGAACCGGCTAAATTGGTAAATAAAACCGGCTAAAAACGGCTAAAATGTTTCAACTAAATTTCGCATGTTTTATTTAAATAAATCACGAGTAAAAAGACTGTTTCTTGGAGAGAAGTTACAAATTCGAGCCGGAAAAAATTTTCCCAGCAAGAATTTGCAATTAGGAAAAACATATGATTGTGGCACATGGTGGGATTTTTTGTCGATGATAATTTGAATAAACAAGTTCGTTAAATTTAAAAATTTACAAACTGGAGCGATTTTAAAATGAAAAATGTAAGTTAATACTTGTTTACATAATTAATTTAGTTAATTCCAATTATTTGAAAGGTACTCGGCAAAAAAAACTGCATTCTTAATCGGAATGCAATCTCAACCAGAGTCGATATAGTAAACCCGACAAAGAAATTGAACCATATGTTGAAGAAAATCGGACTGAACAGAGGCGTTCGTACAGAAAATTGCAAGTTTCTCTACATGAGAGAGAATTTGGGAGCATTTTTTCTTACTATCTAATGTTTTGAGTGATAATTCTCGCTGGATTTTCGACGAACAAACCTATTGTCTTCCCTACAAGGCCGTGTCAGACTGACGGATTCTCAATACACTCAAATAGAAACCAACACACATAAAAAAAGCAGTAAAATTTTCCCTTCAATTTTAAGGCAGTAAAACAACGACCTTAAGTTAACATCAACAGGGGCCATATGTTGACAAGAGATGCAAAATCACAGTTACACAAAAGAACTGGTCAGATTTT